GATATTTAGGGGACGATATATATAGATTAAGTAGAAGAGATATGATTAGATATTAGTTATATCAAAGTATATGGCATACGATAGTAATATGGCCCATAGTAGTAGTAATAGAGTGAGTAATAGTAAAGGGTGTAAGTCTATAGAGGTGATTTAATACTAATATATATGTATAGTAGATAAGATATAATATACTAGCGTGATATATATACTATATATTATCACGGACTATCATATAGCTATCTTAGGCTATAATATAGCGTATATATATACTACCTAGTATATGTACTGTATGGTTAACACACACACACACACACACGAGCACATATTATATGTATCCACATATTTGGTCGCTCAAATTGATCAACGCAAATGTAAGTTCTCCAGGCCGTACAGCTTTCCACGCACGCTTAGTTCTTGTTTTTAAATTCATTTTCCGCGCATAAAAATTCTTTTGACCTTTCCGCGCAATTGGTCGAGTGCATCCCGTCCAGCAGTATCCGTTCGCTGCCAAGATGTTAAACAAAAAGGATATTCTCCGCACATGGAAAAAAATGCTTGATTCTCCGACAGCGAAAAATGCGCCCTACAGTCTGGACACCAACTACACCACACACACAACACACACACGCACACACACAACATATATACATTACACTACACCACACACACTCACAACAACACATAATGATTACTATATATATATATATAGTGATATCTATGTCTATATCGTAATCTATGCTAGTCTATCTATCTATCTAATCTATCTAAGTTCTATATTGTGATGATCTATCTAGATCACTATCTCTACACTATCTTATCTATTCCTATCTATAGTAGGTGATTAAGACGTGTGTATTAGATATTACTACGCAATAACTAATACCAGGTGACTAATAGATATTACAGGTAGGTAGTATTATATAATATATATATATATATACATATATGCAGCTACACAGCACACATGCTCAACATGACATACTATATCGGAGATGGAGCACACCACACAACACACGAGTAGACACACCTACACAAGAAACACATACACACACAACACAACACACTACCCCACCACCACGACACCACAACGCATAATATTATAATACTACCGTACTACCTTAATTATAGGTGAGTATATAATATATATATTTACAGGGATATCTACTATCTCTATCTCTATCTCTATACTTATCTCTATGTGCCCTATGCTCTCCTCATATCTCATAATCAATATCTATTACTTTTCTTTAATGGGGAATGCGACCAGGGCTGCTGGCGAAAATCTTCAACAACTTTCGAATAATCAAAATCATCATCAGACTAGAAACAATGGCAATGAACCTATTTATTTTTATGATTCTCACTCTTACCATTTTTGTATCTTTCACAATGTTCTGCCCTATTCTTTTAGTTAATTTCGCCGGTTTCCCATTATTTAATTATTTCTTCATTAACTATGGTTTTGCCGTCTAGTTTCTGTAGTTTTATGCTATTTGTGTTCTTTTCACTGTCTCAGTCTGATGATGGATATCTAATTTTATACTTTGAAACGTTATTATAAAGAGGATGTTCTCGTACAGCCTTGTTTTCCTTTTCATTCTGAGGAATACGGCGTCCCCGAGGTAGCAAAATCATACATTATGATATCATAGTAATGACTTATCAATCATAATATAGATATAGTAGGTATATATATGATATATATTATATATACTTATATATAGACAATATGAAATATATGAATGAATAAATAAAATAATTGAGAATGAGTCATAAAGTAGTAAAAGATATAGTATAATATATTATATAATATAATGATGTATAGATTTGGGTGGTGTGTGTGGTGTGTTACACATACATATACACAATATACATACATACATACATACATACAGCAAATAGCATACATACATAAATGCAAAAATCAAACTACTGAATAGGTAAAAAGTAGTGAGTGAGTATAGAGATATATGATATGAAGTATATATAGTATATATGAGTAATATATAAATATATATATGATTTTTGTGTGTTGTGAGTGGGTGGGTGGTTGATAGCTTCACACGATAGCACATCATACTGCAAGTAATAGTTTTATACAGTAACATACATACATACAATACGAGATATAGATGATATATATGATGACATACGAGGGTAGTAATATATGATAAGTATATATATTATATATAAATACATACTTACACAGCACACAATCACACACACACGCACCACACACACACATACACTTTACACTCCCACCACATCACACCACACAAGTATATAGATATGTGTATAAGTATATATCCTATATGATAAATAGTAGTGAATAGACTGTAATCAATATTATAGATATATAACATATATATAACTGTATAATACATAATAAAACACGTGAGAATATATAAGCGATATAGCACATACAGTATTAAAGATAATATATAAGAAATAAGATATATATAGTATAATATATATAGATATATATATAATATATATTATACCATATACTATCCATAGGTATATATATGATATGTTATATATATACATACCGGTGATATATATAGCATAGGTAATATAATAGATATATATATAGTAATTATATATATAGCTTAAGTATAGTATACTTACATAGAGATAGAGTCAACATTCATAACAATATACACACCACTACACACACCAGCACACACACACACAAACACACACACACACACACACACACTATGTGCACACAAACACACTCACATATGGTATTATAAAACACAACTTAGCCAACTGTCATGACGCGTCAAAAACCAAGGTTGCAGCTATTTATCCTACAGAGGCAATAGTCACAGTAGGCAGTGATCGGCCACGCTTATCATAACGATAATATCCGATACTATAATGACATATAATCAATGAAATTTCTAAAACCGTGATTAATGTCACGATTACCTCGTGGCTAAAAACAAAATTCTAAGGAAGACAGGGGTGCTAACCGAGAACAAAATGCTTTAGATGAAACATTAAATACAAATGCTTAGATTTGACATTCATAGCAGCGGTTCTCAGTTTGTTTAAACTCAGAAACCTAGCACCCTCATCTAAAAGAGGAAACGACACTACGCTAGTCTGATATAAAACAAAACTCTGCGAAATTATATAAAATAGTTTTTAAAAACTAACAATTGCAAATTCATTACCACATATTACGTATATCCTATAAAACAAAAGAACCAGTATTTTATTGGAAGCACTCCTAATTGTAGGCTAAGACAGAGAACAGTGTGTAATAAGAACCATGCCATACTATATACTGGTGTAATAATATCATATATAGGAAGGTGAGGGAGTGAAGCTTTATAATATTATATATGAACATATTAATATTTAATATATAGTATATAGATAGATAGGTAACTATGGCATACTATATAGTATATCATATATATATATAGAGACAGAGAGAGAGAGATGCGAGAGTGGACATGAAGGATGAGAGGAAGAGAGACTTCTACGAATCCGAAGAGAGACGAGTGCAAGAGGAGAGATAGATGAAGAGAAGGACGAGAGAGGAAAATAAAGACAGGAGAGAGAGAAGACAGAGAGACGAGAAAGACAGGAGAGAGAAGAGAAAGACAGAGAGGGAGAGATGAGAGAGAGAGAGAGAGAGAGAGAGAGAGAGAGAGAGAGAGAGAGAGAGAGAGAGAGAGAGAGAGAGAGAGAGAGAGGAGAGAGAGAGAGAGAGAGAGAGAGAGAGAGAGAGAGAGAGAGAGAGAGAGAGAGAGAGAGAGAGAAAGAGAGAGAGAGAGAGAGAGAGAGAGAGAGAGAGAGAGAAAGAGAGA